TTACCATATTGCCACCTGCCCACCAGCTGCCGCCTGCCACCTGCCCGCGCGTCTGCTCACCTCATCCGCCTCGTCTGTTCCTGCTGGCCGTGGGGCTTGTCTGCGTGTCTGCCTGTCTGCGTGTCTGCCTATCTGTATGGCTGTGTTGTCTGCGTGTCCATTTGTCTGTGTGCGTGGTTGTCCGATTGTGTAGGTTTATGTGTGTGTGTGTGTGTGTGTGTGTGTGTGTGTGTGTGTGGATATCTATCTGTATATTTCTCTAACTGTTTGTATGTCTATGTATCTGTTTATCTATTTGTCTGTCTATCTAGTCTCTCTCCTTCTCCCTCTCCCTCTCCATCCCTTCCTTCCTTCTTCCCTCCCTCCTTCTCTCTCCCTCCGCATCTCCCTCACTCCTCTCTCTCTCTCTCTCTCTCTCTCTCTCTCTCTCTCTCTCTCTCTCTCTCTCTCTCTCTCTCTCTCTCTCTCTCTCTCTCTCTCTCTTTCTCTCTCTTTCTCTCTCACGCCCTCCCTCCCTTTCTCTCTTCTCTCCCTCCCCCTCTCTATCTGTTCTCTCCCTCCCCCTCTCTCTCTGTTCTTTTCCTCCCTCTTTCTTTCTTTTTCTCTTTTTCTTTCTCTCTCACGCCCTCCCTCCCTCTCTCTCTACTCTCTCTCTCTCTCTCTCTCTCTCTCTCTCTCTCTCTCTCTCTCTCTCTCTCTCTCTCTCTCTCTCTCTCTCTCTCTCTCTCTCTCTCTCTTCTCTCTTCTCTCCCTCTCCCTCTCCCTCTCACTCTTCTCTCCCTCCCCTTCTCTCTCTCTTCCACACACATCGTATTGTATTTTGTGAGCCTTTCCTATTGTTCGAAATACACCACGATTTAAAATTCAATCCCAACTGTTCAATTAGAACTGATGTTCACTTATATCCGAACTTTAAATATTTTTTCCTTTTCTTTGCATTCTATTCAGCGTTTATTTATTTATTTATTTATTCCTTTAACTATTTATTTTTATCAATTTCCTTATGTCCTAATTTACTGTTTTTTTCAGAAATTCCTTTCTTTTTTTCTTTTCTTTACTCTCCTTTTTCTAAATATAATTGCTTTCGTTCAACCTGCCTTTGCAACGAACCACCTTCACTTATTACTATCTTTTCTTTTAAACTATTCTATTTCTTGCTTTATTCTTCTTTGTCTTTATTCTCTTTTCTTCTTCTTCCTCTTTTTCATCTTTTGCTTCTTCTGCTTTTTCTACTTCTTCTACTTCTTCTTTAACATGTTTTTCTTTGTCTTCATCATCTTTTTTTTCTTTTCTTTTTCTTCTGCCTCCTCTGTCTTGTTTCCTCCCTCCCCCTCCTCCTCTTCCAATTCTCCTTCCTCTCCTTCCACCTATCTCGCCCTCTCTTCTTCTCTCTCCCTCTCCTCCTCCATTATTCCCCCTTCCTTGTTCCTTCTTCCTGGCCAGAAACATAACCTCATGTCTATTTGAAGATGAGAGAGAGGAGCTTAAAGGTGGGCGGTGTGACCAGGTGTATAGTGCAGTGTGGTGTGATGGTGTCTGTGATGCGTATAGTGTGGTGTGATGGTGTTTGTGATGGGTATAATGTGGTGTGATGCGTATATGTGATGGTGTTTGTGATGGGTATAATGTGGTGTGATGCGTATATGTGATGGGTATAGTGTGGTGTGATGGTGTCTGTGGTGCGTATAGTGTGGTGTGATGGTGTCTATGATGCATACAGTGTGGTGTGATGGTGTCTGTGATGTGTATAGTGTGTTGTGATGGTGTCTGTGGTGCGTATAGTGTGGTGTGATGGTGTTTGTGATGCGTATAGTGTGGTGTGATGGTGTCTGTGATGCGTATAGTGTGGTGTGATGGTGTCTGTGATGCGTATAGTGTGGTGTGGTGGTGATGTTGTGGAAATTGGTGTTGTTATGTTGATGTTGATGTTGGTATGGGAATGTATTTTAATAATGGGTGTGGTATGTTCTGATGACTATTCATTTATTTATATATTCATTTACCTAACATTATTATTATTTGATTTTATTATATCTATTTTTTGTGTGTATGTGTTAAAGTTGGCTGTATAATTCATGGTGTTGGTAGAGATGCCTTGTGTATGAGTGAATATGGTGTTTAGACATGCTATTTTCATCATCTATTTTTGCTATGTTAGACCACATTGATTTGGTGTTGTAAGAAGTGCTGCTATAAATACGAATATTTACAACAACACAAACAAAACAAAAAACAATGGTTACGACTTTATAAGTAATGCAACTGACATAGTTTTACCACAAACACCCCCCCCCAGTAGCGTAATATACACCCTTATACACAACCACGAAGTGCAGTTGAAGCCGCAGTACAAATTTAAAGTATTACTCAAGGAGCATTAGTATTGCGTGACGAGTGTGTTCGTAACTACAGTGTTCGGTGGAAGTCAGGGGCACATATTGTACAAGGTTCGTGCCAGAGTCTCATTTCTAATTGAAAGCTAGAAACTGGAATTGAAAATGCGACTCGACCCGGCGTTGGAAAGGGTTGTGGAACGCAATCAGGCTATTGGGAAAAAAAAGAGAAAATGCTGGGGAGGTAGATATGCAGATAGGTAGATAGAGGGAGAGAGAGAGAGAGAGAGAGAGAGAGAGAGAGAGAGAGAGAGAGAGAGAGAGAGAGAGAGAGAGAGAGAGAGAGAGAGAGAGAGAGAGAGAGAGAGAGAAGGAGAGAGAGAGAGAAACGGATAGACAGACACAGAGAGACAGACAGTCAGTCAGACAGAGAGACAAACAGACAGATAAATAGAGAGAGGAAAGTGGTGAATCTTAAA